AATTTATTCCAAAGTAATTGTTTTTCGAACTGTTGTGAATGGGACTGATCTTAAAAGTTATTTTTGTCCATGGTTTAGTCTGCATATACAAAAACTATTGATTTTTGAGTGTTGACTCTGTATCCTACCATTTAAAAAATTCTTTTATGAGTTCCAATAGTCTCTTAGTGGAGTGTTTTAGATACCCTATATTTAGAATCATATAATCTGCAAGTAGGAACAGTTTGATTTCCTCCTTTCCCATTTATATCACTTTGATTTCTTTCCTTGTCTAATGTCCCTGGCTAAAACTTCCAGAACTAAATTAAATAGCAGTAGTGAGAGTGTTGGCTTATAGCTCTTTGTAGTAATTTCTGATGATTCTTTTTATTTCTGTGGTGTCTGCTGTTACATTTTTCATCTCTGATTTTATTGACTTGGGTCTTCTCCCTCTGTTTTTGATTAATTGGGCAAATGGTGTATCAATTTTGTTGATTTTTTTTTTCAAAAAATGAGCTCTTCATTTCACTGATGTTTTTGTTTCAATTTTGTTTATTTCTTCTCTAATTTTTTCATTCCTCCTACTAATTTTTGATTTCATTTGTTGCTATTTTTTTAGGTCCTTGAGATGCATTGATAGCTCCTTTATTTGGTACCTTTCCAATTTCTTTATGTAGGCACCCAGTGGTATAAACTTTCTTCTTAACACTGCCCTTGCTGTATCCCATATGTTTTGATATTATGTATTGTCTTTTTTATTCATTTCCAGAAATTTTTTCTCTTTTGATTTTTCTATTACCTGCTGTTGATTCAGAAACATGCTGTTCATATCCATGTGTTTGGGTATTATCTAGAGATTCCTGAATTTTTGATTTCTAGCTTCATTCCATTGTCAGAGAAAATGCATGATATGATTATGATATTTTGAATTTGCTGAGACTTGATTCATGGCCTATCATATGGTCTATCCTAGAGAAAGTGACATGTATTGATGAGAAGAAGGTGTATGCTTCTACTGTGGGGTGAAAAGTTCTGTAGATATTGGTTAGGTCCATTTGGTCCATATTGTCTATGAGCTCTATGTTTCTTTATTGATTTTCTGTCCTTTTGATCTGTCCATTTTTCAAAGTGAGGTATTTAAGACCCTGTTAATATTATGTTGGAGTCTATATCTCTCCTTAGATCCATAACATTTGTTTTAAATAGCCAGGCATCCTGCAGTTGGGTGCATACACATTTAACATAGTCAAGATCTTCCTATTGAATTGATCATTTAATCATAACATAGTGTCCTTCTCCACCTCTTTTAATACTTTTGTGTTAAAGTCTATTTTGTCTGATATTAGGGTGGTAACAACTGCCCTTTTTGCTTTCCATTAGCATGGAATACCTTCTTCCACCCTTTCACTTTCAGTTTTAGTGATGAGATTTGTTTCTTGTAGGTAGTAAATAGATGGGTCTTGTTTCTTAATCCATTTGGGCAGTCTTTCTTTTTTAACTGGAGAATTGAGGCCACATATATTCAAGGTGACTATTGAAAAGTAATAACTTGGCCTTGACATTTTTCCACAGATACTGCTATTGTTTACTATGGGTGTATTTTCTATTTTTTTTTTAAAGATTTTATTATTTTTTGACAGGTAGAATTACAGACAGTGAGAGAGAGAGACAGAGAGAAAGTTCTTCCCTCTGTTGGTTCACTCCCCAAATAGCCGCAATGGACGGAGCTAGGTCGATCTGAAGCCAGGATCCAGGTGCTTCTTCCTAGTCTCCCATGGGGGTGCAGGGCCCACGCCCTTGGGCCACCTTCCACTACTTTCCCAGGCCACGGCAAAGAGCTGGACTGAAAGAGGAGCAACTGGGACTAGAACCAGTGCCCATATGGGATGCCAGCACCGCAGGCAGAGGCTTAACCTAGTGCACCATGGCGCCAACCCCGTCTTTTCTATTTTTACAGGAAGTTTTCTGCTTCCCAAATCTTTCATAATGATGGCTACTTTCTGTGTATCTGTGTGTAGCATACCCTTAAGCAAATTTTCTAAAGCTTGGTGAGTAGTGACAAATTCCTTCAATTTCTGTTTGTTATGGAAGGTTTTTATTTCACCTTCATTCATGAATGAGGGCATTTCTGGGTACAGTACTCTGGTTTAACAGTTTTGTTATTTTTTTTCTCTTAAGACTTGACTATGTCTCACCATGCTCTTGTAGCTTGTAGGGTTTCTAATGAGAAGTCAGCTGTGAGACTAATTAGAGAACCTCTGAAAGCAATCTCACATTATTTTCAGGAACATTTTAGAATCTCTTTTTATGTTCTACTGCCGAGAGTTTGACTACAATGTGTCATGGTAAAGATCTTTTCTGGTCATGTCTGTTTGGAGTTCTATTGTTTCCTCTACTTGCATATCACTTTATTCAAATTGGGGAAGTTTTCTGTAATTATTTCACTAAATAGGCCTTCTAGTCCATTCTTTTTCCAGACCTTCAGGAGCCCCTAGATCCATAAGCTGGCTCATTTGACACAATCCCATAAATCTCCAACTCCGTTTATAAGTTTCCTACTTCTTCTTGTTTTTCTTTTTTCTTTTTTTAATTTTTGGTTTGACTTAAAGTTTTCCAAAGGGTTTGTCTTCTAACTTGGATATTCTTTGTTCTGTCATACCAGATCAGCTGTTAAGCTTTCCACTGCATTTTTCATTTGATTTATTGAAATCTTCTTTTCTAATATTCATTTAATTTCACATTAAAATCTCAATTTCATGGTAAAATTTACTTTCATGTCATATATGATTTTCTTTAGTTGTGAATTTGCTTCTGATGGCGTTTGAGTATCATATTATTAATTATTTGAATTTCAGTTCTGCATTTTATCAATCTCTTCATCTTCACTTTTTAACTTTATTTGATAAATATAAATTTCCAAAGTGGCAGCTTTTGGATTACAGTGGCTTTCTCCCCCTCCCTATAACCTCCCTCCAACCTACAACCCTCTCATCTCCCACTCCCTCTCCCATCCCATTCGCATCAACATTCACTTTAAAATTATCTTTATGTAGAGAAGATCATTTAGTATATACTAAGTAAAGATGTTCAACAGTTTGCACCCCCACAGAAAAACAAAGTGTAAAGTACTGTTTGAGTACTAATTATACCATTAATTCAGATAGTACAACACATTAAGGACAGAGATCCTACACAGGAAGTAAGTGCACAGTGACTCCTGTTGTTGATTTAACAATTGACACTCTTTTTTTATGGCTTCAGTAATCACCAGTGGCTCTTGTCCATGATCTTCCCAGGCTCTGGAAGCCTCTTGAGTTCGCCAACTCTGTTCATTTAGACAAGGTCATAGTCACAAAGTGGAAGTTCTCTCCTCCTTTCAGAGAAAGGTATCTCCTTCCTTGATGGCCCATTCTTTCCACCACTGGGATCTCACTCACAGAGATCTTTCATTTAGGTTTTTGTTTCTGTTTCTGCCTTTTTTTTTTTTTCCAGAGTGTCTTGGTTTCCCATGCCTAAAATACCTCATGGGCTCTTCAGCCAGATCCGAATGTCTTAAAGGCTGATTCTGAGGCCAGAGTGCTGTTTAGGACATCTGCCATTCTATGAGACTGCTGTGTATCCCCACTTCCCATGTTGGATTGTTCTCTCCTTTTAATTCTATCAGTTAATATTAGAAGACACTAGTCTTGTTTATGTGATCCCTTTGACACTTAGTCCTATCATTATGATCAGTTATGAATTGAAACTGATCACTTGGACTAGTGAGATGTCATTGGTACATACCACCTTGATGGGATTGAATTGGAATCCCCTGGACATTTATAACTCTAACCATTTTGGGCACGTCAGATTGAGCATGTCCCAAATTGTATATCTCCTTCCTCTCTTACTCCACTCTTGTATGTAACAGGGATCACTTTTCAGTTAAATTTAAGTACCTAAGAATAATTGTGTGTTAATTAAATAGTTCAACCAATAGTATTAAGTAGAACAAAAAAGTTATTAAACAGGATTAAAGTATTAAATTGTTCCTCACAGTAAGGACAAAGGCTAATCAAGTCATTGTTTCTCATAGTGTCCATTTCGTGTCAACAGTTTTCTTTTTGGTGCTCAGTTAGTTGTCATCGATCATGGAGAACATGTATTTTCTCTATGATTGCTTTTTTTTCATACTGGTGAGATTTTCTTTAATCTTGAAAATTCCTTAATTCAACAATTATTATGATTAATAAAATTCTAAATCTTGGTATAGCAGCAAACAGAGCAGGCTTCTTTGTTCTAAGAACATATTTATTATATATGTTTCTAAGTGTGTTTGAATAGCATGGAAGTATAACGGATGAATTGGAGTGACAGTAAAGTAGAAGATAAAGAAATTTGCATATGGCAAAATAATAATAGTAATGGAGTCAATGATTTCTAGATCAGAATTACATCTCATTATATTTCCTTTCATTTTTTTTCTTTTTTTTATTTAGTAAATAAATTTCCAAAGTACAGTTAATGGATTACAATGGCTTCCCCCCCATAATTTCCCTCCCACTCACACCCCTCCCATCTCCCGCTCCCTCTCCCATTCCATTCACATCAAGATTCATTTTCAATTATCTTTATTTTTTTTTTTTTGATCTCCAAAAAAGTTTATTAGCATGACTAAAAACATCTTCTTGAATAGTAACAGAATTTCTGAACATGAAAGCATATCAGTGGCTAAACCTTATAACCAATATTTGGAATTGAACAGACAGCTTTATTGCCAGTCTTCATTGTATTAAAAACAATCCACATGTTGTTCCATGAAGTCATGACTATATTGCTTTGTCTGGAATGAGTCCCTACGGCAAGTAAGTATAAAAATATCTTCCATCATCATTGGAGGGTGACCTGCATTGGAGTGTGACTCCGAGTTAAGAGCTGAAATAAAATCCACAAAGAGTTGGGGTTTTGCTTTTTAAAAACATTCCTTTTACACACTACAAAGAAATAATTAGTATTTGGTTTTTTAAGTTCCTACTTGATAGTTAAATGGCAGTCCCAGAGGCCCTCCCATCACACAACTGTGAACGCAGACCCTCCGCTTGAGGGTGCAATCTTGGGGTGGGCTCAGAAGACTCTGGCTCCACATGTTTACACGGTTTGAGGACAAAGACAGCATCATCCAGAACATAATAGTCATTATACATGTCGCCTTCACACAGGTATGGCAGTCTGGTGAACGCTTCGATAACAAAACCAGCTTTGCTGAAAACTTCAGGCAGACTGTTCACTTGTTCTTCCCAATTCTGTCCCTTGATTTCCAAAATTTCTGATGGTTTCTCCCACTTGCCACCTACGTTCTCCACATAGGGATGAAATGGTAAGACCAGGGCAAGGATGACTCTGCCTCTAGTTGGCTCCAAGACACTTCTGATATCTTTTAACAAAGTCAGAGGTTGGTCACAGCGGTCCAGCAAATTCAAGCAGCTGATGACATCATATTGGAACCCTGTATTCTGCCATTCATTTATACCCAGCACTCTGTATTTCTTCTTCTGAAGCTGCCATATCATAGTTTCAGAAAGCTCAGTGGCGTAGATTTCTTCAAAATGAGGACTCATGATTTTTGTGACTTCTCCATCTCCAGCACCTAAATCAAGAAGTCTATGGGTTTTCCAGTCTGGATTAATTTTAAGCAGTCTCTGAAACTGATCTGGTGAAAACACGAACATTGAGCCTCTTCCTAGTAACCCATTGATAGATGTTCTAGACATAAACAGGCTAAAAACAGATGACACGAAAGAATGATATAATTGGATAAATAGCCAGCCCGATTTCTCAATGCTGTTGTTTAAGAAGATCTGTGTTCCTTGATCAAGATAACTCTGAACAAAGACAGCCTGGAGTGATTCACATAATTTCTCTCTGTTGCACACATACCACTGGTGGTTCTCCTTCCTGCCACCCGCGGCCGCCGCCGGCCCGCTGGGGCCGCTCGTCATGTTCACGTACAGGGAGCGGGTGAGCGGGCTCCGCAGCGTCCACATTCTCCGCGCCAGCCACACGGACGCCAGGCTCAGGCACAGCCAGCTCGCCAACAGTCTCATCGGGAGCCGCGGCCGCTAGCGCCGATCACCGCCGGCGCCGGGGCGAGGAGGAGGAGGCGCCGCCGCCTCCGGCCACCGCCGCCGCCGCCCGGGCTCGAGCCATCGCGTCCAACTTGCCCATCCAGCCCCTTCAGGGCCGAGGCGGGGGAGGGGGTGGCGGGGAGGAGCGGCCGGCGCACAGCCTGTCGCCTCCCCTTCCCTTCCGGCCGCCATTTTCAATTATCTTTATACACAGAAGATCAATTTAGTATTTATTAAGTAAAGATTTCATCAGTTTGCACCCACACAGAAACGCAAAGTGTAAAAATACTGTTTCAGTACTAGTTATAGCATTACTTCACATTGGACAACACACTAAGGACAGATCTCACATGAGAAGTAAGTACACAGTGACTCCTGTTGTTGACTTAACAATTTGACATTCTTGTTTATGGTGTCCAGTAATCTCCCTAAGCTCTAGTCATGAGTTGCCAAGGCTATGGAAGCCTGTTGGGTTCGAAGACATTGATCTTATTCTCCAGACTGACTTCCATAGTGGCTTAACCAGTTTGCATTCCCACCAACAGTGGGTTAGTGCCCCTTTTTTCCTCACATCCTCTCCATCAAACAAAACACCCACTTAGGAGATGGGCCAAGGACCTCAATAGACATTTTTGAAAGAGAAAATCCAAATGGCAACAGACCATGAAACCAGAAATCATCCAACATCTACAGCAATGTTATATTTGATCAAGGATCTAAAACCAATTCCTGGAGTAAGGACAGTCTATTCAGTAAATGGTGCTGGGAAAATGGGATTTCCACATGCAGAATCATGAAGCAAGACCCTACCTTTCACCTTACACAAAAATTCACTCAACATGGATTAAAGACTTAAATCTATGACCCGACCATGAATTATTAGAGAGCATTGGAGAAACCCTGCAGATATAGGTACCGGCAAAGACTTCCTAGAAAAGACCCTGGAGGCGCAGGCAGTCAAAGCCAAAATTAACTATCAGTATTGCATCAATTGAGAAATTTCTGTACTGGAAAGAAACAGTCAGGAGAGAGTGAAGAGGCAACCAAAGAATGGGGAAAATATTTGCAAACTACGCAACAGATAGAGGCTGATAATCAGAATGTACAAAGAAATCAAGAACTCCACAAAAACAAAACAAACAACCCACTTAAGAGATGGGCCAAGGACCTCAATAGACATTTTCAAAAGAGGAAATCCAAAGGGCCAAGGCAATGAAAAATGTTCAAGATCACTAGCAATCAGGGAAATGCAATCAAAATCACAATGAGTTCACCTCACCCAGGTTAGAATGGCTTCAGAAATCTACCACAATATATGTTGGAGAGGATGTATGGAAAAGGGGACACTAACCCACTGAATGCAAACTGGTTAAGCTACCAGGAATCAGTTTGGAGTCCTGAGAAACCTGAATTTAACCCTACCATACAACCCAGCCATACCACTCCTTGGAATTTACCCAAAGGGAATTAAATTGGCAAACAAAAAAGCTGTCTGCACATTTAATTTTTAATTAATACATGCATTTGATTTTGTGTGTAAAAGCAAAAAAAAAAAAAAAACTTAGGCTGCTATGGAACTATTTAATTTTGAGTCCTGCCTATAGTTATCTAGGTCCCACAGCATGGAATGAGAAGGTCATGCAAGGTGACCGCTGGCACGCAAGCATCAGTTGCTCAGGAATGGCTTTGAAACCCACCTGGCAATGGAGCCTGCCTGGCAACAGGCTGTGATTGGATGGCTTTGGAAACTGCCT